AATGCCAAGGAAGGAGGGTGGGCAGCCACCAGAGCCAGGTTGGGATCCTGTTGGCACCAGAAGACGTAGAGACAGGAGACACAGCAGGATGAGAGGGTTGGGCTGCTGCACACCTGGTCTTACCTTCAAACCACAGGCAGAAACAGGTGTCTCTCACCCTGTGGACAAGTGTAGGTCCCAAGCCTTCAAGCTCATGGCACACCTTCAAGAGGATCATCACAGGTTCCCACCTGCCTGAGGCTCCTGGGTCTCAAATGGGGACGTCCGGACACATATTGGTCACTCTCCCGGAACCACCCACAAACCCCGTATCCCCAGCCTCCCAGCTAGCTGGCTGCAACTGCCCTTTCTAACTCTAACACCACCCCAACTAAGCTGGTACAAGGAAGAAAGGTAAGCTCAACCCACCTCTATTTTCCTTCATTTGCCATCTGACAAAGATGAGAGAGGCCCTCAGAGGAGGAACCCACTTCCTAGCCCCAATGCCCCACATTGCTCCAAGCCCCCGCCTCCCGCCTCCCCGCAACAGCAGGGTCCTTCCTGTTTGTCCTCAGAGATCTAGAAGGCGGCCCAGGACCAGATATCAAGATTCCAGGTTGCCCCAGGCCTCCCCACCCTGCCCCCAGGCTGCTGGGCTGGAGCAGCTGAGCCGCTGGACCCCTCCCTCCCAGCTGCCTGACACCCAGAGAGAAACTGATATGGGAGGGCAGGGTAAGGAGCCAGGCCCAGAATAGTGCTGCCCCGCCACAGTGGCCAGCACTTGCTCTCCATAGGCCCGGCTGGCCCCATGGAGCCCGAGCTGGAGCACTCACTGCGCACGGTACAGGGGTCCTAGGGAGGCCGTGAGGGGGAATACACCACACTGTATGAATGTGTGCGCGCACGTGTGTGTGTGTGTGTGTGTGTGTGTGTGTGTGTGGCCTGACCTGGATTTTCTCAGTAGAGAGCATGTGGGTGTCTGTGTGTATATATTCTTTGTGTAAGTCAGTGTACCTGGGAGTGGTTGCATTTGTTTGTTTCTAGTGTGTATTAGTATTTGAGTGTGGGTGTGTGGGTTTATGTATGTTTGTGGGGTGAGTGTTTATATGTTTATATGTGTTTGTGAGGTGCATGTGTATGTGTGTTTACGTGTGCACCGTGGGAAGGGAAGGACCTGTGCTCCAGAATGTGGGGCATTTTCCCACCCTTCAGACATTCTTCTCCCCGCAGACCCCATCCTGGAGCAGCCTGGTGGGTTCTCAGCATCAAGGTAGGTGGGCAGTCCTCTCTTGGTGGCCCAGTCTCCTTTCTCTGGGCCCCCAACCTCACCCACTCCACTAGCCTAGCTTTGGTCTTCCTCCCCTTTTCTTTTTTTGTTCTTTGTTTCTTCTTCCTTTTCCTCACCTGCTCCTTCCTCTTTGAAATGAAGAGAAGGTGGACCTATAGTCTGAAGACCCTGGTTCCGACTTTATCACTTACTGGCTGTGTGATTTGGGGCAAATTGTTTAACCTCTCTAATCTTGCTATGAGGTTTGGATGAGAAAATGTTGAAGAAAGGCCCTTTGAAAGCTTGAAAATATTAAACATTACTACTACTAACATTTTAATTGATTCTGTTATGTTATTCCCTATTAACCAAACAGGCCCCCTTTCCCCTTCCAGAGATGAGCTTCCTGGAGCAAGGAGAGAGCACTCCGTGGCCATCACCCGCCATGACCACCAGCTCAGAAAGAAGCCATCGGAAGCGGGGGGCCAAGGCCTCAGGATGGACAAGGCAGGAGGCTGTGGAGGAAGAGGACCTGCCAGGCCTGGGGGAAGGTGAGGCCAAGACTAGTTCTAGGGCGAATGGGAGGCAGGGTGCACGCAGTGTGAAGCCCCAGAGCCTGGGGCCTGGGTTTTGTCCTTGATTCTTCCAAAACACAGAGTTGGGCCCAACCCTTGTCTTGCAGCCTCAGTGTCCCCACATGGAAGAGGAGTACCACATTGCAGAGCCAGGGAGTCAACATGGGTTATTCGGGACAGCACCACTGTCTCATGTGACTCCCTGAGACTCAGCTTTCTCATCTGCAAAATGGGGCCCCCCATATCCAGGTTTCCCAAGGCTGCTCTGAGGATAAACTGAGACAGCACAAAATAAGGTACTTTGGGTGATGGAATTACGGTCCTCTCCCCCTCAAACAGGTCCCCAATCCAGGCCAGCTGCTGAGTTCATCGGGCTGGAGTCCACATTCCCCAAGGCCACGCGCTGGGCCCAGGCTGCTCCCTTGGACATCCTCCCCTCTGAGTGCTCAGTCTCAGCCACCGGCTCCAGCAAAGAGTTCCCAGCCACAGTAGCTTGCAGGTCTGAGCTCAGCCTGGTGGAAGAGAGACCTGCCCTGTGCCCATCCCCGCAGGCCCCGTTACCCAAGCAGGGCTTGGATGATGAACTGCAGAAGCCGGGAGCCCAGATCTACATGCACTTCATGCAGAAGCACACCTGCTACGATGCCATGGCAACCAGCTCCAAGCTGGTCATCTTCGACACCACGCTGCAGGTGAGGCCACAGCTCTGCTCACCTCCATCCTCCCGGGGCTGCACCACCACTCACACACTCCAGGATACCTAGCCAGGCCAGGCCTCCCAGCAGGTCCCCTTCCAAGCTCCTTCTTAGCACCCTGGAGACCAGTGTGGGGAGGGCGGCTCCTCTCTGTGAGCAACCCTAACTGTCATCACAGCTCTGCCACTTAGTATCTTGGGGTCTTGGGTCAGCCACGTTACCTCTGTCGTCTCTACAATGTGGGTAGGAATGCAAAGGACTCCTACGACATCCCAGGATAGGTAGGAACACTTTGCAAACCCTGAACGATGTGGA